CTTCATAATCCAAATTATTTGCCAGAAGAATAACTGACACTAAGATGTTACAGTATTCTTTTCATAGTTAAGACTGATACCAGGTTAGTCTTGCACTACTTTGGTTCAGTGTTATTGCAGCCTGCACTGGTGTTCCTCTGCCTAAATACTACAAGGTATACACTGATTATAAAGCAGATGCCACCTTCAGACTTGGATAGAGTGTTGTCCTACTTTTTTAATGCAAAACATCAGAAAGTTATTTGGCTGAAATACTTTTAGTTTGTTTCTCGTGTTTTTGGTCCTAGATCAAAGGTAAGTTTTACTGGTCCATCTTGTAAATTTTGTTTCTTTGTAGTCATATGTGCCAGCTACATTAAAGCAAAAGAAGAAGAAAAATGAAGAAATTTTGCTGTTCAAAAAATATTGACTCAGTTCTCCTGTCAGTATCAACAATTATATGCCACTGATTTGAGAAGAAATAGAGTTATGTTCTGTGTGATTACACAGGTATGGCGCCTCTTCATATTTCTTCAGCAATTTTCACTTAAGGCAAATTGCAGACTTTTGCAACGATCATGAGGAATTTGAGCACTGAACTCCCACCTAATCTTGTCTGATTAGAAAGTTAATGTTCTATTCAGGTGCTGAGATTGTCTTCAAGACTTCAGCATGCAAGTGTCTCAAGATAGTTTCTCCTTTCAATTTTCAAGGTGAAGTTTTTTACTGTCTACATCATTAAATACAATAAAAAACCACCTATCAACTGCCTTCCAAATTTTCATGAAGCTGATAAATAGAATGATCTTATTATTGGCAATCATTTCCTTCATGGAACCATAGAGTCAGCTAAAGAACAATATTATTTTCTTACTTGCATGATAGATTTTGATGCATGTAAATATAAACAGAAAGGTAATCCATTTCTCAACATTATTTTAGAGAATCACAGAATATTCTGTGTTGGAAGGGACCCACCACGATGATTGACTCCAACTCCTGGCTCTGCACAGGATGCCTCAAGGTTCACACCACGTGCCACAGAGTATTGTCCAGGATTGGTGCTGTGACCACTTCCTTGGGGAGCCCATTCCAGTACCCAATCTTTCTGTGGGTGTAGAAGTGTACAACATCTTTCTGTTTTCCAACCTAAACCTCCCTAACATAACTCCATGCTGTTGCATTGGTCCCTGTCAGTGGTCACCGCAGAGCAGAGATCAGTGCCTGCCCCTTTGCTTCCCCTCACAAGGCAGATGTAACTGCAGTGAGGGCTCCCCTCAGCCTCCTCCAGGCTGAACAGATCAAGTGCCCTCAGCTACTCATTACTCTGCTTCTCCTCCTGACCCTTCACCGTCCTCGTTGCCCTCCTTTGGACTCTTACAAGTTAATGTGTTTTTTATGTTCTGGCACCCAAAACTGCCCCCAGCACTCGAGGTCACCCCAATGCAGAGCAGAGCAGGACAATCCCCTCCTTTCCTGGCTGTTGATGCTGTGCCTGATGCCCCCAGGACAGGGTTGGCCCTCCTGGCTGCCAGGGCACTGCTGGCTCGTGTTCAATTTGCTGTTGACCAGGAGCCCCAGGTCCCTTTCCACAGTGCTGTTCTTCAGCCTCTTCTTCCCCAGCCTATACACACAACCGGAGTCGCCAGACTCAAGAATCTTTCACTTGCCCTGGTTACATTTCACATGGTTTGTGATCACCCAGCCCCCTCATTTCCTGAGAATTTCACATGGTTTTCCTTCCTTCGAGGAAGTCAGAAGCTCCTCCCATTTTTGTTTCTTTGGCAAACTTACTCAGTATCTTTTGCAGTCCTGTGTCCAAGTTTGCGAAGATGTTGAAGTGTAACTGAACTGTCACTGTACACTGTACAGTAACTGCACAATCACTGTAACCCTTTGTGCCCCACCCATGAGCCAGTTGCTCACCCATGGCACGATGGGTTTTTTTCTAGCTGTGAGATGGAGGATAGCTCCAGGAGGATGCCATGAGAGACAGTACAGAAAACCTTGCTGAAACCCAGGAAAATTCAACCAGCTGGCTTCCTCTGATGAGCTAGGTGAGTTATTTTGAAACACTAGGTATTTAGAAGATACTAGCTTGCTGGAAAAAATTTGAATAATACCATTTTCTTAGCTTATAGGATGAAGAAGTTAATATTGCAAAAGGTACTAGAATTCATATTAAAATTATATCAACTTAAGATTTCCCAATGTTCATGTTGTTAGAATAGCTGCCATTCAAAATACGTTGTGATACAAAACATTCCACTCAAGAAAATTACACACACAAATCTTCAGCAGATTTATATACAAAGCCATAATCTTAATCAGCAAGTACATTTGTGTTCTAATGTGGTTTTTGGGCCCTAACTTACATCACTGAAGTTCATGGAGTTTTTGTCATTCTGGTTATCATGACAAGGATCAGAAGCTGTCACAGATTTTTAGCTCAAATACATAGTTCTGTCATTATATTTACCTGAAATTCACTAAATTTGTCAAATTTTTTGGCACAAGTGTCATACCAGTAGGAAAGTTGGGTTATCAGGAAGACACCTAAACTTCCAGAATGAAAGATTTAGTGAGGCAAACTCGAATTTTTGTAAGGATAAATATGGTTATTATTTTTCTTACTCAGGAATGATTTCTGATTTTCCCACTCCCTAACTGAAAGTGCTTACAATGTGCATGATGCTTAATTAGTTCAGTCTCCCTGGTAACTGCTGGGAGAATAGAGACTATTGTTACCCTATAGTTATGTACGGTAGTTCCCATTGTGGGAGGATAGAAAGAAATGGGACTGACCTTCAAGAAAACCAGTAAGTAATTACTCTAGAGGAAATTTCAAACTGTTATGTAGAGGTGAAGTGCTGCAGATAATGTTACGTCACCCTCACTTATGAGTTTTCCCTAAATAAGTGATTAACAGAAGAAAATTACTGTGCATGGTACCTTCAACTTATATTTCAGAGATCCTATTTTCTTGAATAGAATTTTATAATCTTAAAAAACTAAAAGGTCATTTCCATTTTCAGAATATGGACCTTAGTACTCTAAAAAAATACAAGAATATTAAATAAACAAATACTTTAGTGCATTTATTTATATTTGAGATATCTTAAAATAGCTTGGTAGTTTGTTTCCCAAAATTTAGGAAGAGCTTATTAAAGGACTTTTAAACATTGCAAGATTAACACTAAGAAGTAGTCATGGAATGACTGATGACTATAGCAGAAGTGCAGGCAACATGAATCCACAAATTTAAGTTGTAGTCCAGAGGAAGATGATAAACAAACAAATGGACACAAGGAAGATTCTGAATGACAGAACTTTTGGGGGACTTTTATGTTTCAAAAGCATAATTAATGCTCAAACGTGAGTGATAATAGGGATGTGAGAGATCAGAACCTTAATTTCTGAGGTATTTATTCATAATACCTTATTAGCAACCAGAAAAAATAATCAGGATTAATCAATGGCAAACTTTACTTAACTGGAATAGTCATGTACAAAGAGCAGATGCACATGTACATCTACAAAGACGTCTCTTATAAAATATAAAATTGTCAAGTGAATTTCCCATCACTGCAAACAAAAATCTACATTTTTTTATGAATTAGTGTGAATTTTTCTATATTTACAGATTACATGAGAAGCTACTTAAAGTCAAACCGGTTGGCCTTTGAATTGAGGGTTGTCAGGAATATATCTGCTGCAGAGGTTTATACTTTCTTTGACATCCTACCTTCATTTGCACTTGAAGCAAAACTTCTCATTAAGAAGAGAGTGACACCTTCTCTTCATGATTTCACCAAATTGTATCCTGAATAGTAAAATCACTTCTACCAAAATCCTCCTTGCAGCTTATGATGCAAGCCACAATCATCATCGCTATTCTGGTTTTAAAGAAATCTGAGGAGCATTACTTCATTTGCTTACATTATCAAGTTTCACCCCAAAGGTGATGCCATTCATGGCCAATGAACTTATTCTTGCCTAGTTGTAACAGGAAAAAAGCACCTTCTGGTTTACGTGTGTTTGAGAAAAGTTATAAATGTACCTCTCAACTGCCACAGCTAGAGATTAAATGATTGATAAAAACTCCTGCAATTAAGACTGTGTTGACCTTCTCTTTTAAAATCCACTACAAAGTCTGTAATATTTCAACACTTTAAAATAGCCTGAAGTTTTGTGAATAATACAGTATATTCTTTTTTTTTTTAAATTCTTTATTTTTTCTTTGTTTCTGATTTTTCTCTTTTCTTTTCTAAACCAAATGCACTGATTTCTGCCTCTACCTATTGAGTTGAAAATAATATTTTCCTGTTTAGAACTTACATCTAGGAGGTAACACTTTTCAAGCTGCTAATAAATAGAACAACTGCACTATGTTGAAAAAATCATACTGTGTGTACATTTAGAAAATCTTTATTGAGAATGCAGAGTAATTAATTTCATAACCTCATTTGTCATGGCAGTGATTCCATAATTTAATTTCAAGGCAAGTTGTTTCCCATCCCACAATCATGTCTGTGTAGGTATACTGTGATGCCAGTACATAGCAGAAGGAAAAACTGCCATCTTCATTTCCAGAGTACCTCTCATGCCAAATTTACTTCAAAGGACTGTAAATAATCCAGTCAAGAAAAGCAGAAATTTATGTTCTAATGTAAAATACAGTATTTCAAATGGTTGTTCTTTGGCTATATATGATGTTATAATTGATATTTTAAATGTGATGATATGATGAAAGTGGTGATACTTTATGGTCAAAATTTATCATCTTGCTTCAGTTAAAAAAACTGTGAGTATACACCAATTCTTCTGTGTCAGAAGAATTCAGGAGCTGAAATTTTCCTTCCCTCAGCTCATAACCTTCCAGGCTACTTTTTCCCCATTGACTGCCTGTAACTGTTTTTTCCTCAAAGTAGAACTATTGCAAAGATGAACAAGAAAATGTTAGAATAATACTCTCAAACCATTTATAGCATCAGTTAAACACCAATAAATTATTTTAAAAATTAATTTAAAGAAAAATTTATTTAGAAAAAGATTAATTGCTACAACTTCGGATTCACGTATTTTCCAAATAAGCATTTTCCTTTTGTTTCTTGTTACAAGAAACCACATTTTTTCATAAACTACTGTGTTACATCCAACAGCAATAATTCCTTCAAGAGCAAACACATCAAAGAATAAAGCAGGTGCTGTCTGCGTTAACAAGGGACACAGGGCAGAGCAGTGAAATCAGTGCTGATGAGGACAGGTGTTCTTCGTGACTCTGTATGATCATCACATTTTGTCCACATTTGGGGAGCTGGCTCAGCCTTCTCCAAGCCTATTGTGCAAAGCAGAACAAAAAAAAGTAAGCGAGCTGGTTGCTTGAAAACTAAAAAACTAATGAAGATGCATTTTTAGTTGATTTTCTGATGTATATTGAACCAACATCATGATCTAATAGTAGAATAGTTATGTAGAGAGCAATTTTTTAAAGAAAGAACATCTTAAAGAAAAAGCATGTGGACATATGAAAATCAGGATGGTGAGGGGAATTAGAACTTCATAAAGTTTGCCAAACCTTACCTATAAACATGTGATTTTTCTACAAAGACATTAATTACTTTTATACCAAAGTTTAGGGTTTACATATTAATTAGAACCAAATGTAACTAAGTATTAGTGCACCCAAACTTAATAACTTTGTCCCTGGAAAAAACACTGACTCTTCCCCAAAAAAACAGCACTAGCTAAGTTCTCATGTCAGATATTCAAATTTTGTAAGGTATGAAGTCCTCTTCTACAAGGTATCTCTTTTCCTGTTTACTATTATTAGCATGGTTTTCTACCACCCAAAGTCTTCACCATCGCACTGAATAATGAGCAAAAATACATTCACTGTTTCAAAAAGAGTGAAGTTCATCTTCCACTACAAGGAAATTAAATACATAAGATTAGTGCAAGGAAAGGGACCACAAATTAACAGTTAATTAAGATACACAGAATGATCTATAGAACTGCTGATGAAAATGAGCAAAATATGGTTATTGTAAATGTCATGGTAAAAGATATGGAGAAGAATTGTGAAAAAAAAGTTAATTAACTGCTTTGTCACAAGAATTTTTTCCATACTCAGGGACAAGAGGAGACAAAGCAAATACCTGAAAAGCATAGATGCTTGTTGGGAAAAAAAGACTGTGAATGTTGCTGAAGTGAAGACAGAAATCACCTTTCCTATACATCTGTAATCCAGTAAAGCGGGATAGGGGCTAATAATAAAACTTCTAGATATGCAGCAGTTGGGTTAACTGCATTAATTAAAAATAGAATTAGTATTACGCAAGAATTGTGTCTTTTTTTTTTTTTTTTTACTTTGGATAAAACAACAGCACTGAGAAACTACAGAATTCTATAGAAAATATTTTTCCTGAACATCTTCAATGTATATCCTCTTATTTTGTGAAAAGTAAAATAAAAGATAAGTTAAATATTACTACTTAGATGACTGCTTCAAATGATTACCATATGTAAAATGCCCAGTTTTACAAAGAAATAAAATCCCATTAGTCTCGATTTCCTTTTATTGAAAAATGTTAAGTAGCAGAAATAAAAATCATGCACTTGAAAAATGTGAGTTTTTATTCTGGAGGTGACCCCTATGCTCTTTGTCTTTGCTAGTATAATGAACATATAAAGGTTCTGTTCTACAATGTAAGAGCAAAATTGTAACAGCTTGTTGGAACAAAAGTTGCTCATGAGAGCCATGCTAGTCTCTTTAGAGCCTACCTCTATTTCCTTTCAAGTGCACAAGAGATTTGTATAACAGTATTGAATTTTGGGTCAGGCCCCTTATCATTCCTGAACAACTCATCAAGCAAATGCATTAAATATACAGGCCGAAATCATGCCATAATCATAATCCATACTTTAACTAACAGACAGAAGACACTGAAATGTGTTATGTGAAATTGAATACACCCAAAACACATAAGAAAAGAAAGCAGACAAACTGGGAGGTGTTTCCAATTCCCACCTACCTGATATAGTCATCAGCACCACCATTGCAGTTAAAAATCTACAACCCTGATTTTCATGTTTGTTTATGTCCCTAAACCACCACAGCAATCCCACCACTCCTATAGTGTTTGAAATGTAGCTTATAGCCTTCTGTTACAGCAAGTATCAAAAGCAAGCAAATTAATAAAAAGCTACTTTTGATAACAAATTCCTTACAGTTCTCAACTTGAGAAAGACTTTTATAATCTATGAGTTGCTGTAGTCTGGAGGGAAAAAAAAAAAAAACCCAAACAATCAAAAAACCAAACCAAACCAAAATCAACCAAATAAAAAACTCCAGCCAACCAACCAACCAACCATTAAAAGGCAATAAAATTTATTATTGACTAATGCACACAGTGTAATTGGCAAAAAAAAATCTTCTTAGCTGTATCTCCATACTTTACATTTCATTTAACATATTTTTGTATTTTAAATGTAGTCCCAGAGTCAAGATGAGACTCAAAACAGTCACTGCAGTGTCTAGGGCTCACATCTATAAGTCATGTTCTGCAGCTGATGCCTAATGCAGATTCATTAGAAATAAATAATTTCACAAGAAGTACAGTCTGAAGGGTTTTAAATAAAATGACTACATCAAATCAGTCCTTCTTAAAAAGAGTTTAGGTTTTACCATCCTTATGTTACTGTGGAACTACATGAAATACATTCTAATAGGTTCAAAACCCATTAGCTCCAGAATACAATGACTTATTACAAAATTATTATCATCAATGTCTGATTAGAGAGAATAAATTTTGTTTTACTTTATTGCAAATTTATATTCCAGATGGAGACTACAAATGCAGGTCTTCTGTTTTTAAAATAACAATGGTAATTTCTACCTTTATTAATAGAGGACAATAATTCAGACAAAAATAATGTTCATTTACCCTGTTACTTTCTGTGCCTTTTTCTCACAGCTGACTTCATTCTGTAAAGGAGATATAAAATATAAAAGAAAGAATTGAAAGGAATCTGATTTAGTCCATTCTCTTGCCTAAGACAAGATCTAAACTGTTCACAGTACCTGTTCTTAAATCTTCAGTGATAAAGATACTACAATCTGTCCAGGACATCTACTTCACTATTTAATTATCAAATTGTGAAAATAATCGCTTTGTTTTCCTTTTTTTTTTTTTCCTCTAATGCCTAACATAAATCTTTTTCCTGCAAACTGAGCTCTTATATTTGTCTCAGAACAAACACTGCTGTTTGCCTTCCCATTTTGATATGCTTTACATATTTGAACACATGCCATCCCACCTTTGGTTGTACAGCCAGAATTAACTTTATGTTATTTTGTTCATTCATATTTTTGCAATGTTAATTTTGTTCAAGTTTTTAGGCATATTATGTTTTCCAGCAGCTTGTTCTTACCGTGTCATGTTTTGCAGCTGCTGATTCTTGAGTTGTCCAAAACTTTAATGAAATACAGTTGTCAAACCTGAAAAAATCCCCACTGCATTTTAGTCTTTTTCAGTTTCAAACACACTGGACATACCACTTCATATATCTTAATGAAGATAATTTTATTTAAACATCTAAATATTGTGCTTGATTTTTGGATTGAGTATGACAATTTTGATGAATATTCAGGACAGCTACTAATACTTCTTTGCAAATTTCTAATTTGCACTCCTATGTTTTTTGGTTTTATTATTCCAAGCTTCTTCACTTTGACATATTTCTGTCTTTAATGTTGTTAATATTTTTTCTAAGGTATCCTGAGATCTTAATTCAGATCTTTTACAATGGGATTTTTTACTAATAGTATTTTTATTTTCATCCCAGAAATCGTGAGTTCTAGAATTTCATTACCACAATCATCAGTGTTTCTTTTCATCTTCAAATTCTTCTAGAACTCTATACTGAAAATTCACCTTGATTTCCTTCTTAAGGTTGAAATAACAAATGTTGTCAACACATTCCAAGACCTTGTTAATATTTTGCATCTTGCAATATGCTGGACTTCTAGCAAAGTTCAGCCTAGTCTGAAATTATTTAATCTGCCTTATCACCTTTGTCTGATGTTTCATCCTGACTGTGAAAGCACCTTTGTTATTTTTCTCTTTTATCACCACTATGGACTTCATAGATTCTGCCACTCCGCGCAAGCTGGTGTGCCTCAATATATGGATTAATATCTTACTCCTCTTCTTTGACTGTCATTCCTAATAAGGTTTCATATTCTATATTCATATTTGAATCATGAGACTTAAATACTTTTACACTGAACAGATTATTTTTATCCACTTAATCTGGTTTTTTTCTCACTTTACAAGTGGATGTATTGCTAACTGGGTTTCCCAATAGTGCAGTATGACAGCATGGGTTTAAAACCTGGTGAATGCATAACATTAAAACAAATCAACCATGCTAAAAAGTAATAATATTAAGTGTAATAGGACTTTTCTAAAAAAGAAGGTGTCTGATGCAAATTTTAGAAGCAAAAATGTTCATAGTTCAATAATGCTGAGAAGCTGTCCAGCTGTGCTAATATCATTAGCTACCCTATCACCAAATATTTATCCCAGAGACAAAATTTATTGATATTATTATGTTGTTATTGCCTTAGGAAAAATTATTTTTAATTGGTTTTTATACTTCTAAATCATACCAGAAAAAAATTAATGGACTGTCTGGTACATTATAAAGGTTTACTTACATTTTCATTAAATTTTCCTTAAGATCATCTACAGATGAAGAAGAAAACCTTTTAAGTCCATTGGGTTTTTTTGAGGACTCATCTAATTGCTGTCTTAGTAAGATATTTAACTAATATAACTAAAAATGTGTATTTCCTAGAAAGCTTACCTTGTTTTTGAATATTACTCTAATGTTTCATGTAATTTATTGTATTTCTTTTTATGTCTTGTTCAATGAGTCATTTGTGAACACTTTAGGAGATAAATAATATGATTTGGCAATAATAGCACAGTACACCTGTTATGTCAGATGCAATAGCTACTCAGAGTCAGAATAGGGAAACTTAGAAAAATTAAACAGTTGCAGAACTATAAGCAAGAATTCTGTCTGAAAATCACCATTTCAAGCCACAAAATTCCGTAGCAGGATACACACTTAGGTAGTGAAATAGAAAATAAAGCAGTGTGTTATTATTTATTAGGCTCTTTTGTTAATCAGATTGAGAGAAATCACACTGTCTGTAGTAGCTACTAAGATGTACAATTTTCAAATAAGGTTTTTCCTGAGTAAAAGACACAACACATAGTTCTTCCATATTCTAAGGGCTGTTCACCTCTGCAGACATGCAGCATGCAAATTAATTTTTTTACTCCACCTGAGGCTGTACTTTGCCCACTGAATGATTTATATTTGCAAGAGAGAAAGCAGTATTTGCACCATTAACCTTCCCTAAGACTTTGCTGGGGGAAGCTTTCCTCATCATTTTTATATGATTACAGAAGAGTCTAGGTATGAGAACCACCCTGGACAGAAATACATCTGGGTATGTCCTGGCCATGGACCTTGTATCTGCAGTCTTATTCATTTAGGGCACAGCACAGGCCCTAAATAATGCTTTAAGACAACTGTAAACTGTTTTCACACTTTGCTGTGAAACTTTCTATTATCAGAATGAATCAGTTCTGAATTGTATATGCAGAAACTGACAAAATTTAGAAGTGTACATGAATCCTAAAATAGTTTATTTGGAAGAGTTTGTACCTTTGAAAAAATCTTATAGTGAACAGTAAAGCAACTGCTGGTGCACTAGAACAATCTGTAGAAATTAGATTGGTCTACTAACATGTATAGATTTGTTCTCCAAAATCAAATAATAACTTGTTAAATGTATTTACTTGTTGGTTCTTTTTTCTTTAATATATGTATGTGGGCCTTAGAGGCCCATAGAATTCAGATCTCCTTGTCAGTTAAAAAAAAAACGCTCCCCATTTTTAAGGAGAGGTCAGGTAAAAAAATTAAGAGACAACAGCGTAACAAGATAAGCATTAACCTTAGCTGTTCAGTTGTTCTACTCTTCCACTATTTCCCATTCAGTCCTTCTTCCCTTGGCTGTTTATTTAAACTGTAAGCTATTTAGAGTGAAGGTGTTGCTTTCTGTCTCATTGTCCATACAGATTGCTGGCATTCTGTATGAACAAGCAACTATTATAAACATCAACATGCATATTCTCTTTCATTCAAACACAACAGATTTTTTTTAAACATCAAGAATAAAGCTTAAAAAACAGACTCTACACCTCAGAGTAGAACACTGGAAATTCTCTGAGATCAAATAAATGAATGAGCCAGATCCCTGGACTTAAAACACAGAACTTGGCAGCGCCAACCCCAGCAAGAAGTGTTGAAGAGACAGAAGGGAAGCTTCTGTTAAAGTATTGGAAGGGATAGAAAATGAGATAGGGGTGAACCACTCTAGTGTGAATATCGTTCTCATTCAAAAGAGCTGAAAGTTTCTAACTAAAAAATTTCACATTATATAGCTTCCAGGTAGGAGAAATTGCCAAGTCAAAACACTGTTGGGGAAAAAAATCCAAGCTTTGCACAGACACTGTTCAACATGTAAGAGTGACTGGGTCTGAAAGAAGATATTTCCCTTTCTCAGTGCCCAGTTCAGCAATATCACAGTGACACTAAAACACAGTTATTTTACAGACAGCACTATTTTTATTCTAATCCATGTCTTTTGTTTTTTTAATGGAAAAAGTTACTTTGTCAAGGCTAGCCAAAAGCACTAGCAAAAACTGCTTTGGTTTCAAAATGGAAATAGACAATATGTGTGTTTATCACTGAAGACAGGACATAATCAGTAGATTATCAGATTCTCTTAATTGATTAAGAAAATTATTGTGTGTGCAATTGCATATACTGAGTCTTCTTAAAAGAGAAACATGATAGGGAGGTTTTTTAATTTGTCCAAATAGCTAGATGTAAAACAGAATAGACACTACACGAAGAGACTTAATTCATTGTTGTACTTATGGAATTTATAAGAATACATTTAAAAAGTACAATTCACATTTGCCCATCTTAAAAATGGAGACTCAAATCACATTGCAGAAGAGCATAAACTAGATTTTAGATCTGAGTGAAAGTATTCCTATTTATTATAATTAAATAAAAACAATTCTGCATATCACAATGATTAGTAAATTAGATTCTAAATGCCTTTGACTGTCTTTCTCCTCAGTGCATTTCTGTATAAATTTTGCATAAAGTCATTACTTTTGTCACTTTAGTTGAATTGATTATTTACTGCTTATTTCAAGATAAAACTCTAAATAATTTTTCTTTTTCTTAGCTGTAAAACTCCCATAATTCCTGCATCACAACAAAACTATCATGAAATGCACTTACTATTATAACATTTTCCCAGTGTACCTGGAACTACAGCCTAGAAAGCCTGATGTTCACAGCAGGAAAAATGGTAAAAATTATACTTGAATCATGCAAATAATGGACACATGAATAAATACTAGTAAAGAGGAAAGCATGAACTTGGCTTTCTGGAGTCAAATAGTTTTTCACAAATCTCTTGGACCACTCTAGATCAGCTCTTAATTTTTCTATTACATGTAATCTTCATGGATCTCTTAATACACAGAATGCTCTATATGATTTCTTACATTTCACTAAATATATTTTCAAATGTCAGTTAACTCATGGCACAAACAAATGTGACAGAAAATGACAAACAATTAAAAGACGTAAAATTCAGTTATTTGCTCACAACTTTCTATACTAACTACTTTTTTAATGCTGTTGCTTTACTATTTCTTTAACCTACTTGCTCTACAGTTTGTGTTCCTTCTGTTTGTTTGGTTGGATTTATTCTTTGCTTAATCTGTCTGTTTCATATTTAGAAATCTGATGTCTAAGACTGTGGTTCCAAAAATCCTTTACTTCAGAAACAAAACTCTGAAACACTACTTTTTTTCTGGTCTGTGTGTGTGTCTAGATGTCTTTTGATTTATTATTTCTCAAGTGCAACACTACAGTAAGTAATAAAAATAAAGATAGAAACTGGATGAGAAGCAGAAATTATTGTGAGAACCAGGTAGAACATTAGAAAAAATGTGGCAAAGGCCAATTTATATTTTTCAGTGCAGGGAGTTTGCTAAATAAAGACTTTCAAGATTAACTTTATTATTCAATGTTCCTATTTTCCATTTGGTATATTTTCATGGTTGCAGTCAACATCTCAGATAACCCACTCCTTTTTAGAAGAATCAGGCCTGGAGGTAAGCACTGAGATAACTTGCAGGCAATCAGAGAAAGAAGCATGGAAACCACTGGGGAGGAAGAATTGTGAAGGAATTACTTTGCAACCAGTCCAAACTTATAAAATTGCTCATTTGAGGAGAATTGTTATCTGTTTATTTTAAAAACTCAATGTTTCCTAGATGAGGAAGAATTGTGAGTTTTTTAATGGCTATCAGTTACATGCCATATGCACCATTATTTTCCTGCAGCCTTTGCCATCCAGTTGCCTAAAGTTTCTATATTTTTGATACAACTACCTACCTGTGTTTCCAAATATATTCACAGCTTCATGTTTTGCTGCTGTCTTTACAAATGAAAAACAGTTCCACAGATAACCCCCTGATATAACTAAGATCTTCCACAGAGTTATTCATACTGTATGGTTTGAGAGATTGCTATGTGCTGAATTAAACCATTCTTTTTGAGTTAGACAAAAGACTGTCTAACTCATGCCATTTAGAATGCCAAATTTCTGAAACAGATGTTCCTCCAAAGTGTGTTAATAAATTGTGCACATTCATTGAGGAACTCAAATACTTTCTGTCTCTTTGTAAAACTCCACCTTCTTTAAAATCTTAACAGAGTCTTTACTTTTTACAAAACAAGGAAGAAGTTTGTTTAAAAGTATTTTCACGAGACTATTCACGAGTGGCAATGTGAACTCGCGCGAGGTGAACCTGCTGCTCCAGGAACAGGGAAGCCAGAGCTGCTCCTGTATCACCATCTAGTGGAGAAGAGCCCTGCTGCCCATTACACAGCTCTCGAGCTCCATGAGCGTGACAGCAGGCTCCTGACTGAACTTCAATTGATAGATTGCACATTACCTCCTTTATCTAAATCTTTATGTCCAGAGATCAACTAATTTCCAGACAGGAGGCTGGAACTTACATCTAAGTATGTTCAAAATAACAACCTAAGACTTCTTGATACCTTTTTTAGCCTTTTGCCTCTCTTGACCAAAACATTCACCGTATTTTTTTTTAGTGTAATAAATGTCATGTTTGGAGGTAAAAAACCTATGAACAGTTCCCTAACTGTCATTGGGAGTAAAGATTAATCACAAAGAATGGGTTTCTTGCAAATTAATGAGCCACTAAATTGGCCTAATTATTTTAGTGAAATAAAACAACTGGCACAATTTGCTCAATTCCTGAAACAAGGACAAGAAGGCACCACTGGAAAAATAATATCTATGGGGTAAGCATTCAAAGAACAGAGAAAGATTTCTAACACTTATTATCCTTTCTTATGATATTAAAGCAGTAAATCTAGTGCAACAATAAGGGAAATAGTTAGGGAAAAATTTGATTCCAAGACAAATTGTACATCCAGTAGGGCTAATATTTAAAAGCTATATTGATATTTTCAGTGACATTAGAGGGACATGGCAACTATTCTCAACATTTTACTGGGGCTGAGGTATTGTAGTGTATGTACTTCCAATAGATTTCAGCTATTAAATAGTGTGATGTATATCTTCACAGATCAATGTAGCATTTAGGGTTTTTTTCCTGACTAATTGTGTATTTTCATACCTAAATATATTCACAGAACTACAGAATGGGTCAGATTGGAAGGGCCTACAGTGCATCATCTAGTCCAACATCCCTTCTCAAGCAGGCCACATGGCACAGGATTGTATCCAGTCTTAGATATCTCCAGTGAGAGAGACACCACAATCTCTCTGGGCAATCTGTTCCAGTGCTTGGTCACTGCACAGTAAAGAAGCTCTTCCTCATGTTCAAGTATAATTTCCTGGGCACCACCACACTCAAAGACCCCAAAAAAACAAACAACAAAACCCAAAACCCAAAGAATTGTACCCATCTTGCAGAACTGTAGTGTTACAGTAAAAAGCATATTTCTAGTTAGAGAGGGGTCAGGAGGTCAACAGAATCAAACACCACTTCAAAAGTTCCCAGTGCTCACAACACTTTGTGGTATGAAAAGGAAGGCCCTATGTTTGACTGAAGACAAGCAAACAACAAAATTCACTAGGTGAGTACAATAGCCTATTTTACACATTTTTTTAAGTACTCATCCAGCTCTAAGCAGACATTTCTCATTTGCAATGTTTTAAACAAAATCTTGCATTTTATTGTTGTTATTTTGCAAAATGAGTTTTCCTTCTACTTTCACTTTTGAAGACTGTGTTTGCAGTTGGACACCATGTGTGCATTCTAGATTAGATAGCCAAGACTGATGTTGAAACATAAACAGAAAGTGCAAAACACTTTTCAGACAAGAAGTTATGCAGTGGCAATAAATTTAAATATTCTAATGTCTAGTATATTAAAGGAAAATATACTACCATATATATACCAATATACATGGTTTGTCAAACAGCTGTACAAGTAACTCACCTTGCTTGGCCTTAAGCAGAAAAGGAGCTCTAATTTGCAGATCCATTCATATCACTTGGGAGGTTTCTAGAAAAAGCTCTCCTGTACTCATGCAACTTCAGAGGTTTTTCTGCCAGAAGTCGTTCCACATGTTCCTTGCTACCAATGAGGGCCTAATAATTAATAACTTGGATTACCTTTAATATGTTGGAGTAATATTGCCAATTTCCTCCTGCATTTACTTTAAGCTATATTCCTTCCCTTCTTCCTAAAAAATGAAAGTGGCTCTTGCAGTACAGTTCAGTATGATTCAGGCCATTATCCTGTGAGAATCAGAGAATAAAAGAGAAAGGAAAGAAAAAGCGTGGTTCTGAGAAGGAATATTGACCTGGAAAATTCGTCAAAGATGGAAGATACTGAAAGGAAAACTTTTCATTTTAGGCATTAACATTTGTGTAAACACCACAGGGATCCAGTACTATGACCCTAGGAGATAAAGTGAGGAAGGGAAATGGAATTTCTAGTATTTAATATGGCAATAGACTGAAGAGGCTAAGAATTGAGAAGAAGATTATAGGGGCTTTTACATGCTTTTATTTTGTTTAACAAACTTTTTGAGGGATTGAATTGCCACTTGAAGTTAAGGAGAAGCAGGAGCTGAGAAATAAGGAATAGTAAAGAAAAAAGACAAACCCTGGAAATTTCAGCTAAATGACCCTTTGCATTATTTTAAAAAGTAAGTACAAAATTTACAATTTCCTTTAATCTCCCAGCAGCTGCAGTTGGGAACCCCTGGATGTCAAAACCCCATATCATCTTACCTTAGACATTTAAGTGCTTAAATTGGGAAAGACAGTTTGGACCCCAGCTCTCAGAGTCATGACACCTCCATTTCTCCACTTACTGCTGAAGAGAAGAGCTTCTGGAAGGTGACTGGTAGGAAAAATGCGTGCTAATGTCTTTACAAACAACTCTATGGGTGAAAGAATGGGTGTTAACGTCTTAGAAATGGGTCTTAATATCACTACTGACTTCAGGCCGTAAATCCCAGACAACTTTTCTCCTGACACAGGCAAGGGTCTGCTCAAGCCTCAACTTCCGAACTTTGGGGTAAAATGACAGGTTCAAGGGGGAATATGTGGTAGGTGGTTCGGGAAGGCTGTGCCTTCTTAGGACCTCAGCCAGTGGGAGAAAGAAGAGGGCAACATGCGGCCGGGAGTTTAGGGTGAAAAGAGGTTGTATCCTCTAAAATCTCGAGAGAGAAACCTCGCGGCCGTGCCCGCTGGATTCGCTGCCATTATGCGCATAAAGTTGCAGGACCCCTCTGTCTCCTTTATGGACACTGGCTTTTCATAGCGTGATTTTCCGTACATGCCTGAGCCCACCTGAGGAAAGCAGACGATGCTCGGTCTGTAGGGATGGGGAGATTGCTCACCTGGACAGGTAGGCGCCATCCATACAGGGTCTACAAAATTCTCTACCGGGAATCATAAAATCAAACAAACCAGCAAAAAAGCAAACAAACAAACAAGACAACACCACCCCCTCCCCTCCCCTCCCCCCCCCTTAGCTTACCCAAACACTATTTAAATATTGTCACAACACCACGAAGAAGACATGTTGGAAGACTTTATCAGATGGCATTTAAGGCCGTTTTGCAGGTGGGGGGTCGCTGCCCCCGCTTCACACTGCCTGTCTGAAGTGTGTTCACTACCCTGACCTGCCCGCGGTGCTCCAGCGCAGCAGACCCCGAGGCTGGACCCCACTCCGCCTCCGCCAGGCAGATTCTTTGGGATCGGCAGGAAAGGGTTAAACGCGGAGCCTCGGCGCCGGGAACCCGGCGGACTGTTACATTACCTCGAGAGGGGAGACACACTTACACATTGCTAAATATTCGCTATCAAATAATGTTAAGACTCGGAAAGGAAAGCTATAAGAAGTCGTTATAAAGCATGAGAAACAGGTTTGTGGGTTAAAAGAGGTGAACCTGAGGTAAAATCCTGAGGGCACCTGTCTTTCCTCCTGCGTGGGTGAGTTGCGCTCAGCCCGGTCTGAGGGAGGAGGCGAGGCGGCACCCCGGTAGCGTGTTTGGGGCTCACAGGGCACTTTAAGAGTTTTAGATACACTTTAATTTCTCCTTTCAGCATCGCTAGAGTTTTCCTCTTCCCCGGCTGCTTGTAAGAGGCCTTGTTTGCCTAAGCGGGACTGGGAGGAGTGGGCGAAGGGCGGGCAGGGAAGCGGTGACGGCAGGAGGGCTCTGAGGTGACAAAGGCGCGGGCTAGCGGCCGGAGCAGCCCGGGCGCTGCTCGGTCAGGGGGTCCGCGGCTTTCTTTAGCTCAAATAATGATAGACTCGGTCGCGCCGAGCCCTGTGGAAGAGGTGTGACAAACAGGTTTGGGAGTCCTGAGCATAAACGCCGTAACTCGGCCGGATTTCACCGGCGGTGTTGGAGAGCCGGGGCTGAGATCCGCCCCAGGCACTTCGGGAACAGGCGGAAGGCGTCCTCAGACATCTGCTCACACCAGTGTTTTGGGGTGTCTTAGAGACATTGTCTGTGTTCTTCAGGATCGACTTAATATATCAGTATATGGGGGGGGGAAGCGCCTTTTTTTTTTTTAACTATTAAAGGTAAGAATTAAGAAAGAAAGGTTCTTAGGTCTGCACCTTGACAGAGGGAAACTGAGAGTGCTTCAAGTCTTATGAAGGAACTGGTTTAAAAGCAGCTATTAGTGATAGAAAGCTTTCCATCATACTAAAAATATTTCTGTGGAATCATAAGCATAGGCAGTGCTTCCCAGGCAACTATAAAATGCCAAGCCCACTCCCTTTGAGAAACTCTGAAACTTAAAAGCAGATCAAAACCACACAGCATCAACAAATTTAGTGTTTACAATGAGGGAAAAGGAGGGATGTTGTCTTCAAGAAGCCAAATTAATTTTTGTAACGTATTTTCTTCTGTATTATTTTTTAGAAGATTTCTTGTCTGCCTAGTTATTCTTCAGTATACTGTGGTAACATAGTATAGATGGAGAATCTACATATTTCAGATAAATATATGAGACTATGAGCTACTTTATAACGTGGGTCCCTCTGGCGTGCAACAGTGAAACAGCACCGGGAAGTGTGCTTTAATCATTATTCCTTCTCTGGGCTTTTTTTGTGGCTAAATAAGGATCTCAGTGCACCAGACTAGCAACCCAGAACCTTTCCTGAGCTCTACGTTAGCAAAAATAGCTTTTAATTAAAAAGTTGAAGTATGTTTTTGCAATCAAAAGCATATATGTGTTTTTGAAGTGTATATGCTGGAGAAAACCTACTGGATTAATAATACTGTAAATGTTTTGCTTGGCACATAGAGAGTTCTAAGAGCTTATCCTTAAAATTTCTGCAGGTGGAACCCCCCCATCCCCCACAAAATTCCTAGGGGCGATAATTAAATATTATTCTACAGCTACCTAAACATGTAGTTGTATTCCTATAGCCAGTTTATTACAGCTCTATAACTTCCCATAAATTACATAAGAAATTTTCTATTTCAGGAATTTTGACAGCAGTAAATAGCATTTTGAATGAAATTTTTGGGAACTGGACAGATTATATCTATTACATGTGAAGAACACCAGCCATAAAGAAGTCTCATATAGACATTTCTGAACTGCTTTTAGAGTAAACTGGTAGAGGCCTGGTAATAAAATCTTCATTTAAATATACACAATTTTATTGTTGGGAGGGAAGATTATTAAAGGAGTGAGAAGGAGGAAGAAGGTGTAACTGCTAAAGTTAATCAGTTTGGTAGATCTTGAATGTTCAGCTGTTACAGGGTTTTATACTAACTTCATAACACCATGACGATCACAGGAATGATATGTAAGATAATGTCCATTGTAATGAAACAAAGCCTCACAGCCAGGCCATCAGACATGTATGTGACACTCCTTCCCCATAAGCCATGTTATATTTTTGAGTTAATCATCAACAGTAAAAAAATACCAAGGATTTTTCTCACTTTTGAAGTTCTAGATGGAATTTATGAAAATATATGAAAGCTAAGGAGACGATAAGGCTATCATGACTAACTGTAAAATAAAACATACTTCCCAATAAAATTCAGATGGACTAGAAAAACTGCATTTACCTTTAAAAATCTAGTTTTTGAAACCAAAACAAACTCCCTAAACATCTGTCTATCACTAATTTTTATATTATCAATTTTTCATTAACTTTAATTCTAAAGGAAAGCTCAGATATGGGTAACAAGTCTACTTGGCATGCCCCTAGGCTGGACAGTTAACCAGTATTTCCAAAGTTTATGAGGCAACATCCGAGTTTAGCAATATGCAAAGTAATTTGCAGACAATAAAAAACATAGCAGAACATTTACATTTTAAAATTAAAAAGAAAAATTGCACTCAATAGTCTAAGTGATATTTGGTGTGAAAAAAAAAAATTTAAAAGGAAAGATCATATTTTTAGATCTGCACACATAAATTTTTGTGACAGTTTTTCATTTAAGTACTTTTTGTGCTATCGTATAATTTAAACAGAAATTTATAGCCTGGCTTTCGCAAATAATCTCTTTGACAGCAGATTATCCCTTATTTGATTGAACTTCTTATCCAAACATTCTTCAGTCACAAATTCCTTTTCTATATAGTATTAAAATGGAATACCCACCAAAGTCAGTTTTTCATTCACTTTCTACTCATAGTGCATTCTTCTTTGGGCATTTGACTATTCTGTAAACACAATTTAGAAGAAAAAAAAATAAACCCAGTAAAAAAAATAAACTAATTTGTTATAGAGACATCCTCTTTTTAAGATAGTGATTCTTTAAGTGAAGTAGATAGAGATTCACATCATGGACTATTTTGCCAATGAAGAAAAATCAAAATAGGAAAATAATATAAGGACTTTTATATGCTGCCTCTAACCTTTGGGAGCAAGTAAGAAGGAAACAATCCAAAACATTAGGGAAAACACAACCTAATGGCAGAGAAAATATAAACATTGCCCAAGGAAATACAGGAGGAAAAAAGCACTTTTACCAGAGGAGAGTAGTCACTAGTGTAGCCTGGGATAAACAAAACACTTTCTTAAGTCTGGAAAAGAGGGGAAACAGCAATGGAAGGTATGAAAGTAATGAGTAAGTTTAGGAAAAAGTCTAGTGAATGAAAGTATATGCAGTATTTTGTGGTGCATATATTTTTCTGACAGGGAAACTCATATTTTGAAAGTTGCCAGGTTATTGTAATTTATAGATCTATTTAGAAGGCAACTGTCTTTAAAATTGGTAGCGTATTCTTACTTAATTTGACTTGGTTAGTGCAGTGTCTCTGGTCAGAAAAAATAGATGGCATCAGATGTTTTGATGCACTCAGACTGTGTGTACATTATTTTCCTCTGAAACCATGTGAATGTTTCACTCAAAGTCTCAGCTCCTTTTTGGTTGATAGTCATATTGAATCTCACTTGCTCTGCTTTTCTTACAGTTACATTCCCAGGGGTTGCTCAGACCTGTGTATGGGTATCTGTGTCTTCTCTGCATCTGTTTCTATGGCATTTTACATCTCTTTTTCTCACACATGCCTATCCCTCAAATATCCAACAAAACATGTGCCAACCACTTGTGTCTTTGTTTTTGGTGGTGACACGCACCCATGTTCTTGTGGAGTCTGGTTCTCTTTTTTTCAGAAAGTCAAACTACTTTTTACAGTGATTTTTGAAGAGCACTGCCTATGACAATTAGCTGTAATGCATTATATCTAACAGCAATTTTATGGATAACAGACCATGTTAACAAATTGAACCCAGCGTGGAAAACATACTAGCACAGGTATACAGATCATAGCCTCCTCAGGAGAGTCACTATCATTTTTCATATGAGTACTTGCACTGGAATGCAATCAACAGTGGAAAAAGTTGGTAAACCTACAAAATGTACAATAATAATTCAAAACTACAAATTAACAATGCTGTGTACACTAGTGGTCTTTCATTATCATCACAATTTTAAAATTATTTCCACTTACCTATAAGCTTTAAGGAAACTGCTTATACTTAGTGTGTTATTTTTTCAAGTGTATACCTTTGAGGCAAAAATTTTCAATGGTGAATTCATCTTTTAGTAGATGAATTATGTTTAAGGAACCTGATGAAGTTGAACATGTATTTTCAACTAGTGGGAGGATAAATACAGAAATGTAAACATCAAAAACAGGAATTTAAATACATCATGATCCAGAAAAGGACATTTTCCATAAATAGATAATTTTGACATGATTTTTAAGCTGCGTCATCCAGCCAGAGACATATATTTGCATTTAATTTGAGCTTCTCCATGTCAACAGCTCAATTTTCTGGACCACTTAATGTCCCTGTCAAAAGTTTAAACAAAAATTTTGAAAAGGTTTTGTGCTTCAGAATGCACAGTATTGCAGGTTTGTGAGAAATTAAATAAGTGATAAATTTATACTGCTTTCTGATTCACTAATGGAGCACCCACACATCTTCTAAAGTCCTGACAAAGTAGATGCAGTGCTATTTGCCCCTGTGGCCATACTGAGAAGGAAATTTCCAGCACATGTCCAGCTACATTAAAAAAAAAAAAAAAAAAGAAAATAAAAGTTATAAATTGAATACTCAGCATTCAGAAAGTAACAGATTATGTTTTATTTATCCTTACTCCTTTTCTTTTCTTATTTTAAAATCAATAAATTAGGCTTCAGAAGTAATTTTCATTACAAATTGATGCTGACAGCCATAACTCAAAGGAGTGCAAAAGTTACTGGTACTTATTTCATTTTATTGCACTATATTGCACAATCTCACTGCAACATCCTTTCATAAAGGCCACAGGATGTCTAAACCAAGAAGGATATCTGCTACAGGTTAGAAGTCTGGTTTAGACACTGTGTAGGACTTATTTTAAAATGTCTTCATATGAACAAATATCTCAACTGATACCCAAATTTCAAACTACTTTCTTTTATCAGATTACTGGACAAGTATAAGATCATTAATTGCTTGACTAAAGAAATAATTAGAAATGTGAATGTGATTTATCCCTAGATGGGGAACTACAGTTTCTTCTTACCTTCCTTTTGTTAAGTCACTTTGAAAATATTGCTTTAGGTGTGTCTATAAAATGCAACATAATTGGAACAGGCATGGACATTGGAAATAATCTGTCTAAAGATTGCACATTAAAGTGTTTGAACAGACATTGGCACAGGCTCAAAGCATGCCAGCTTGCACTTTGCCAGAAAATTCCTGTGCACAATTTAGGCATTAGTGTTAGTCATGAACCATTCTCAATGGGCAAAACATGCCTGTGACTATCCTGGGTAAAACATGGAACATTATGTGGCTACAAGCTCCAATGCTAGAGAACAGTGCCAGGCATGTTTAACCTGATATTTATATGTAGCCATTTCATGCTTTGGCTGAGGATAATTAACACTTCTGAAAAATAGGAAAGTTCTCTCTTCCAAGGAAGCAGTTTTTAAAGGCCTGAGCCCAAGGCACTTCTTTTAACATACGCTATATAGATAAGCATATCTCTGTTTTAAATCTTCCTTTTCTGGCAAGTTCATTAAAAATGGAATAGCAAAGCATGTTGTGATATTCTCAATTTTTTAATGCATACAAATATGACTTTCTGAATACAGAGCTGAATATAACAGCCCTTAAGGCCAATTTTAACTTCTGTCTTTTGCCAGAAGATGAATGTCCACATTTATTTGCTGGCCTGTGAAGTTCTGTATTTATTTAGCTTTACTTCTTAAAAAGTGTAGAAAGAAAAAAAAAAAAGCCTGAATGTTTTTGTATTTCTCTCTTAAATTTTTCCGTAGTAGGTCTCAACAACAGTCTTGTAGGAAATCAAACAGTATTTTTTATGTGGCTAACATGACAGTAAGTTGTCCTCCCAGTGCCTAGACAAACCAAGACAATTGAGAGGATAGAGTAATATAATGCTCAAATTATGAACAAAAAAACCAACCTCCCCTCCTCCCAAAAAACCCCAAACAACAACAACAAAAAAACAAAACCAAAAACTAACCAAACAAATAACAAAAGAAAAAAACCCCAACCAAACCAAAAAAAAAACACTACAAAAATTATAGGAAATCACAGCATGTATCAGGAATGATACCTGCTTCCTTTCTGAAGTCAGCAATGGTGAGAAAAGAGCCTAAAGAATATCATTGGCAATGTGCAACTGATCATTTATCTTCTCTAAAAAGTCAGCTTCTGTTAGGTCTGTTTTTATGACCCTGATATAACAATTCTGGGACAATCTTGTCCAGCAGTCTATCATTGGTCTTTTTTCAATTATATAATTGAATATTAGTCTTATTGAATATATGAATATATTAATAATTGAATATGTGTCTTACTATCACACATATTTTGTAGTCTAAATTACATGTTTTAATTTTCTTTATTTTAACTATATTCAGAATACCTAGTACTTTGCATAAAGAGTTTACTTTAACATTCAAATGAAACTACCAGAAGAATTTTGTCTTGTCATTTTTTCTCCATAGAAACATTATTGTACAATTTAACATATATGCCTGCCATAGAATTCATATTAAGTACAAACAGAAGCGCATTCTTAAGATGGTAGAGATAACGCAAGTTTGCCACTTAAAATGAAAATGTACATTTGATTTAATATTAAATTCTTCTTAGTCAATTAAGCTAAATAATTAGAAGAAGGAAAAAATATTACCTCCATCTGGTTTACCAGAAAAAATAAATAAAATTCAGTAGTCTCCATGAAGCTGTAAACTTAAAGGAAGTAACCATACAAATATTTGACTCCTCAGGCTTCTTTGACTTTTTATTTAACCTGTGCCACTGTCAGTTTCATATTTAGGTTGCTTACTTTCCACAGTGAATATTCCCTAGTCAATTAGTTACATGGTGCTATTATTTGTTCCTGTGAACTAAAGGCAATGCAAAGAATATACCCTTGTATTAGCTGTCACACAGCATGCATTATGAAATTCTTCATAATCATTGTGTAGTACAGCCTTAACACCAGATTCTTATAGAAGTCTTAATAGAGTACTTCTAATAGTACTTCTATTAGTACTTCTTATAAAGTACTTAAATTTAGGATGATAGATAACGATTGCGTTACTGTATTCAGATAACCAGCTACCACTTTTTATAGGAAAATTCCTTCCAGTTATTGAGAGAGTATATAAAATATACAGTTGTAATTAAAAAAAATATTTTATTGATATGTCCTAATTATTTTAAATATCTAATTAGAAATACATATACTGTAATAAGGTAATATACATACCTATGAATTACTAAGAGGTAAACAGAAAGCACAGTGTTTGTGCATTACAACAACTTAAAATAACAGGTAAACAACTTAAAATGACAGGTATTTGAATGCTATACTGGCTGTTAAAGAGACAAAAATGATAAAAACCAATGCATTTTTCATTAATTCTACAGAAAAAAACCAAACCAAACCAAAACAACACAACAAATTACAACAATAATATCTAAGAAAACATTGGTTCCAGGTGTTTTTTTTACTCCAGTATTACATGCTGTACATAATTGATGAAGCTGAATAACAACATATAGCAGTCAGGAGAGTAAACATCAGAGTGAGGAGGGCAAAAGAGGTCCCTTCTTTGTTACCTTCTTTATTACTATCTTTGCATTTATAAAGCTTATCTCAGTACACAGCAGCAGCAGTTGTAAACAGCAGCAAGAGACATACCTACAGCTTTCCATATACTTTGTGAAAATTTTATGAGTACTCCCTCCATGAAGATTTTTAAAATTCCTTCCTTTTGAATTAAAATTTACTTTGAAGAACAAAAAACTAATCTGAGAGTAACAGACTGAATAAATAGCTTAAATTTATGGGAACTCAGTCATTTGTTTTGGGCAAAAGATACATTTGTCCTTAACATCAAAGGGAGCAGGACTAGGTTCTAAAGCTTTACTCTGAAACTTGCAGTTCATTTTCTGGGCTACATAGGTGTGGATTTGTCAGGGTAATTCAGAGAGCTATGCCCTTCTCCATACTGCCACCAGTTTTGTCCATGCTGTATATGCTCCTTAGTGTGCTACAGTCATGGTTGCATGGCTGCATAGCTCCTCCCATACAGATTAGGGCTATCCCCACCCCATGACTCAGGCCTGGAACAGAAATAAGGTTTAAAGGCTTTTTGCAGTAGTTATCAGGTAATCTGAAATATTTGATTTATCACTTCACTGGTCATTTCAGGCATAATGACATGAACCCTGTGCATACTAAAGTGCTTTAGGAATATAGTGAACATCCATTCTGCAATAGATTGTTGTGAGTGAGCTTTTGAAGCAGAATACAAGCAACTGCTTGTCTGAATGAAGTCAAATTATTCGATCTTTCATTTTAAAAAGCAGAATAAAAATATTTAATTTCCTTAAGGAAAATAAAATCCTGATTTGCCCATGTGTGTTACACACCATCTTCTAGAAGAACTAATGGCTTAAATTAGTTGTTCTCTTGTGCAGGTAATACAGCATAGTACTCAAGTAAAATAGCCACTTGTACAAGATCTTTTAGTTGAATCGTATTTTAAAAGCATTAAATGATCTAGTGATATTCTCACTGAAACCATAATCAAATAGGACTTGTGCCAGACCATAAAATCCAAAACATATTTGGTATTTGAAAATTAAAATTTCAATGTTCTGTATTTTATTTACATATTAATTCACCAACTAAGAAAAAAAAGAATTATTTGAATGGATTGCTAAAATCATGGAAAGACTCCATCAACATGAATTGGTAACAATCACTCAGAAGTAGATTGAAATAGTATTACTGAGCTTTGTAATTTTAGAATTACATTTTCCTGGAAAGTCATAGATGTATAAGTACACATATAGGTGAACTCCAGATAGGTAGCTCCT